TGTTTTATATTTGTAAATTCGGTAAAATTAGATAGAAGTCCTTATGATATACATTTGTAATAGTCATTGATCAAAAAATGTGAGAAAAACACTAATGCATATAAATGATATCATGAAACATCCCAAGTCATAAGCATCGTCAAGAATAGATATGGACTATATATGGATAGACTTATAAGTGCTATGCTCATGCTATATGATAGTAGTAGGAGATCTCATACCTATTGGCATGGTAATGCCAAAGCAAGAACTTAGGTGATTCGTATTAGAGAACATATCACCGGACTTGACTCGTCATGAGAACCCATTTGGTTTTAGTCTATGGGAATCTCATATGAGCTGGGTACATATGGTCCTTAGATTTAAAGTTATTACGGTTATCTTATTAGAAGACTTATACATTTTGACACTCATTTCGATGGACCCATTAAAGGGTTATACGTTGGTGATTCGTTGGGTGCACTAGGAATCTAATGGAGGTAGGTGTATAACTAAGATAGGACATGTAATTCCTTGTAAGCTAAATGAGTTATCACATTGCACTTCGATAAATATCTACTCGAGAAATCCGTAGCTATAGTAGGAGTCACCAATAGAGCATAGTTGTTTACTTTAAGAGGTAAGACATTTGGGAATCGAAGAAAACTTGTGTGATCATAATCGAACAAGACTTATAACTAAGTTCGAGATCACACTATGATAAGTTGACATGAGGACTCGAATTATATAATAACCATACTCATGAAAGGTAATAATGGATTAATTAATCCTTCTAGAGAATTGGGTTATCATGATGCCTAGCTAGAGGCCAATCTTGATTTATGTATCAAAAGATAAGAGATGAGTTTTTTGTTCTTGATACATTACCAATATATTCGAGAGTCTATTATGTTACACACATAAATTTAAGTATTCACATTATGAATAAGAAGCAAAGATATTGGAAAAAGTTTTCAATTTTAAAAGTTTCCTGTTTTGGAAAAAGGTTTTCAAAATGGAAAGTTTTCTTAAATGAAAAGTTTCCTAACTAGAAAGTTTTTTTAATTAGGAAGTTTCCTAAAATGGAAAGTTTTCTATTTTAGAAATCAGTTTTCTAATTTAGAAGTTTGTTCCAAATTTGAACATAGATAACCTAAAATGGAAATGAATTTCCTAAATTAGGTTAAAGGGTATTTTGAAAAATTATTTTTTAATGTGGATCTGCGTAAAATAATTTAAGATTATTTATTTGGATAGTCCAAATAAATTAATTGGGCTAGAATGGTTTTGGTCCATTAGGTTTAATTAAAAGCCTTAAGATATTTTGATGAAAGGATAAACATTCACCCTTATCCAAACATCGACCTTATTAGATAAGGATGAATGTTTTAAAGATAATGATCAAAAGTCCACATGTAAAATAACTCTTCATCTTTAGATGATAAGAAAGCAACAACTTAGAGTCCTTTAAGGACTTATTATCGCATCTCTCCTTGTCCTTGGAGGACAAGAAAACTCTTCTATAAATATATAGGGGAGAAAGAGAGAGGGAGGTGCTGCAATACAAAAAAAAAAGGAAAAAGAGAGAGGAATGAAAGAGAAATTCGACCAGTCTTAAAAACTATTAGGGCACATGACGAGAGAGAAAAAGAAAAAAAAATAGTTTTCTCTAAAACCCTAAGCACGTCATACTCTTTCCTTCTCTTTCAAGGTTGTCACAAAATTGCTTGAAATAGATTTTTATAGGAAATAGTACACAAATTAGAAAAGGTGGAGCTAGCACCCTATTGATTTTGAGTGCTTCTTTATAGATATGTAGATTGTGTGTATCATCAATAGAGGTCGGACACTTGAACAGCTTTTTTTTATAAAAAATTTAGAGCTGCGCTTACCATAGGTCATTCTTTATTCATTACTTTAAATTCATGAATGGATGGTTAATAAATTCGGGGGCTTGATCTTGGGTCCTTAGATAGAGAAAATTTTTTTGTTTATTCCGCACATCTATAGGATGCATGATCCTTAGGTAAGAAGGGGCAACTATCATCACTCAAATTTTAGATTATATTTTTTCCTTAATTTTATCCATTTCGTTTCTACTTTTATTATTATTATTATTTTAGTTAATTCTTTTTGTTATTAGTTATTGTTTTATTTTATTCTTTTTTTATCATTTTCTATTGTTTTTCACTTTATTTTATTATTTATTTATTTATTCTATTTAAGCACTTATTGTTATTATTAATAAATAAACAAATAAAATACAAAATGGAAAGATAGATTTAATCAAGGGAATAATTGCATTAAATGAATTTGAAATTGGAAGCTAATAAGGATCAAATTGAACAAAAATAATGACAAATTAAAGGCATAATTGAATGGAATCGAGAGGACACGATTGAAAAATTCGGGAAGTGGGAGGACTATTTTATCAATTTATGATTGAGATAGTGAATGTTCATTCATTGTCTCCTGCAATTGGAATACTAGGACAAGTTTTGATCTTTTCTAGTTTTTTAACCGAATTGGATTCCTTCGACCAATTTCACCAATCCAGATCTTTCGTGGTTCGTAAGTTGTGCTATAAAAATTGGAGAGAATAAGAATGTTAGGAAATAATAAAATGAGGGGCGGAGGGGGGGGAGGGGAGAGAAAGAGCTTGGATTAAACAATTGGAAATAAATGAAGGAGAGGGAAAGTTATTTTTGGTTAGTTGAAATCGAGTATAAATAGGAGTTTGGAGGTCGGTGAATAAGGGGGATCGAGAAAGAAAAGAGATAATCATAGTAGAGAGTGTGAAGAAGGAAATCTAGGCATTTGAATTTCGAGTTCTAAGTTGGTGTGTTGATTTTCCGATTTTGGATGAATTTCTAGGTTTTCTCTTGAAGATTTAGGTTTTTGTTCTTGGTTATCCGGGTTTGCTTGGGTATTCTAGGTTTAGAAAGATATCAAAAATCATCTTTTTAAGCTTTTATAAGTCCTTAATTATCATAACAAACAAGTTTTAGATCACACAATCTTCACCAAATCATTCATCTAGTCATCCTTTATCATCTGCAAGTAGAGAAAACTCAAAGCAATCCCATTCTACTATTCAAAATCATCCTAATCAATCGGACTTCCTTCGAGTAACCCAAATAACTCCCTTTGTTCATATTAATCAACCTTTAATCCATTTTTCATTTGAGCAAAAAAAAAAAAAAAAAAGGCATTGACATTGTCACTACCATCGATTAAGTCTAAGGATTTAAATCCTTAAATCCATCCAAGATGAGGAAACCGAGCTAAGGTCCAAGTAAGTTTAGAAATTGCCTAGGGACCATTGGGGGTGAATTATTGTCGATGGAGTAGGATTCCTAAGAATGTTGATGAAAATTGACATTCGGTCCAAGAAGAAGGAAAGAAAGAAAAGAAGAGAAGGAGAAAAGGAAGAAAAGGAAAAAAGAGGAGGAGAAAAAAGAAAGGAAAGGAGAAGGCAAGAGGGTCGGGCTTAGCCCGACTGGAAGAAAAAAAGAGGAAATGGGCAAGGTCCAGCCCGACCTACAAAAAAAAAAAATAAGAATAGGTTGGGCTAGGACTAGCCCAACTCGAATGAAAAAAAAAAGAAAAAGAGAAGGAAGAGGGATGGGCTTAACCCAGACTTCTAGGGAGGAAAAAGCTAGCTTGCTTTGGTCTAATGGGTGAAAGGCCACTAGCCTAAAAGGCTCAATAATCCTTTTTTTGTCATTTCCTAAAAAAATCGATCTTGAATTTTCTTAATATATGCTTTTTATTTTCATGCCTAGTTTAAGCTTAATATCTTTGAATTCTTGATTTATTTATTTTTTTATTTAATCAAAATGCTTAATTGTTTATGTTTTCTTTCAAGAATTAGAATAGATAATTAATCGATGGACGAATTGTCGAGTCTTTTAATTTTTAGGAACCGATAACGATTCCTCACTAAAACAAAAAAACAACAAAAAGTAATAGGTAAAAAAAAATCATAGGAAAATTAGTTAAAAAAATATTTAAAAAAAGGGAAAAAAAGGAGAAGGAAAACCATAGGTGAATAAAGTATAAAAAAGAGAGAAAAATAAATAGAAAAAAATATATTAGGAAAATTTAACAAAGTTTCATATCTAATAGAGACCGATGTTAACTAACATTAATATCTTTAGTAATTAGGATATTTTTGACATACCGGTTATGTCGAGACTTAAACTCGGATTCGATGTTGAATTAACGCGACGTCCGATGGAAGGGTCCAACGATTGGTTTAATATTATGCCACAAACCAAAAATAAAAAAATAATTTGGCCTAAGAAATAAAACTTGGAGTTCGAGTTAGAAATAATTTGATACAAATAAAATTTTTTTGGAGATAAATTTTGAACTAATTTAAACGTGGTACCTTTCTTATGAAATGATATTTTTTGATGATTGATATCTTCCTAAAGATATAATCAATTCCTTATCTTAAAATCTTTTAATCAATGCTTATTTTAGATTTCTAGTATCTCAAATATTAGATGATAACTTTAAAATTAATAAATAACTTACATCTTCAAATAAACAAGATTTTTCAAAAAAATAAATCTTAATTAAAATTTTTGGGAGTTTCATCGAACATCTAGTACCAACATATTAGTTACTTTTTTTCTATTTCATAAAAAAAAACAAATAAATTAAAAAAGAAACTAAGATGATTAAGTTACAAATAAAAAAGATAGGACTAATGAATGAGTTTTCATAATTAAAGAGACTATTTATTTATTTTTGTAAAACTAGATGGAATAATTTAAAATTTACTCCAAGTTATAATAATGTAATAGTAAAAAAACAAAAAACATTTTTTTTTTCTTTTTTGATTGAACACTAATAAGCCATAAAGGCTCCCAAGTGGTGTCGTTTAAACAGCCATCGGATCTAGGGTTTTAAAATATAAAACCCAATTTATGCACTTTATTCAATCTTTTGCATCTTCGTCGCCAACCCTCCAGTCAGAGAGAGGCTGAAAACAGGAGGTAAGGTCAAGCAAGATGGTGCAGCGACTGACATACCGGAAGCGACATAGCTATGCCACAAAATCCAACCAGCACCGTGTCGTCAAAACCCCTGGTAACTGCTCTTCCATTGTACATACTATATGTAAAGGAGAAAGAAGATGCGAATTCTTTGGGTTAATGGTTGTTTTGTTTTTGAAATGTAGGTGGGAAGTTGGTCTACCAGACCACTAAAAAGAGAGCTAGTGGACCTAAGTGTCCTGTCACAGGCAAGAGGATTCAAGGGGTAATTTTGTTTTTGGTTTTTGGTTTTTTTTTCCTTTGTGAAATTTTATTTTTCGAATATATTTTTCTTACAACCTTTGATTTCTTTCTTTATTTTTTTGTAAGTATTTTGGATGATAGGCATAGTTGGTTGTAGATGCGTCAAGTTGGTTTCTAGAAGTTGGAAATTTGTTTTTTTACTCTGAATCGAATCATGTTGAACTACTTTTACACCTTTAGCAATAGGTCTGTTAGAATGCCTATATCGGGAAGGGAGGAGTTGGGACGAGCGGGTGCGTAAATTACTCTGAGGAGTGGTTGCCTTAGAGTTTAGGAGATGGAGAAGACTTTTTTTTTTTGACATGCTGATTGGTTGCTCGCTGAAACTGTTTTTTGGTTACAATGTTTCTTGATCTTACAAGTGTTAGAGGTTAATTTTGCCAATTCCTTGCAGCCATGGCAGCCACTCCCTTTAAGTCTACCACTGAAGCCAAGCCAGCTTAAATGCACTTTATAGCTATTTGTCATTTGCATGAAAATCTACAATGCTTTGTCTATTTGTCATTTGCATGAATTTATTTTAGGTAAAGTGAGTGCGAGTTTTTTCGACCGTCATGTGAAGAGTTATTAAGCCCTTTTTTTCTTTTTCAGTAGCTTATATTTGCAAATTTATCAATGATTGCCGCTGCAGCATTTTAAACTCTGCTGTTCTTTACAAAGCCTGATCTGATGGTGCTGGTTTTGATAGAGTTGTTACTTTATTTGCAGATTCCACACTTGAGACCTGCTGAATACAAGAGGTCTAGATTGTCTAGGAACCGAAGGACTGTTAATCGTGCCTATGGTGGTGTCTTGTCTGGAAGTGCTGTCAGGGAGAGGTACATTACCTGAATGGTTTATCATTTCCTGCTGTTTTTTGAAGTGATGGAAACTGGTTTAAGTGGTTTTGGTATGTTTATTATGCAGGATCATTCGAGCCTTCTTGGTAGAGGAGCAAAAGATTGTGAAGAAGGTTTTGAAGATCCAAAAGTCAAAGGAAAAACTAGCTTCAAGGAGTTAAAAGAGAGGTTCATGAAGTGAAGTGTTCTGGGCTACAATGTTTGATCAAATTTTGTTGTGATTTTGAATATGTTGATTGTATCTGTTTGATACTTTATGCTTTGACTACCCTTTTATTCAATTTGACTTGAAAGCACTGTAAACTTCTTGTTTTATGATAACTAGTGTTATAATGATATGGATTTGCTTGCATGTAGCGTTCTCCTATATAATGTGATTCAGATGGATTTTGTTTTGCACAAGATGATAATTCCTTTTGCCTTGCTGATGGCCAGTTGTTTTACTTGTCCCATTTTGGATCATGCCTAGATCTTTGGGTGACAAGCATTGTTTGTTAGGCTCAGTTAAGATTGGCGGATAGCCTTAAATTGGTGCTTATATCGTTTAGGAGTCGATATTAAAATAGTTGAGTCCTTGATTGTTCGGTCCTGATCATCCCACGCCCAGCTTTTGATGGGTATTGTTATGTGACAAGCTAACATATTACCATCGTTATTGCTACAAAATTGGCAAGATGGGGTTTTGGGCCGAATGTTGTTTTACAGCCAAGTCTTAACATGAAGAAAGTCGATAATGCGCTGTCTCCCTCAGACTGAACCACGTGGTCTTGTCCTTTTCATTTGATGGTTGAGACAGAACTGCTAATTGGAAAGGGTGTTTTAACAATAAGCTATTAACAAAAAGCATGATGGGTGCAAGAAGTGAGCTTCCGAAAAACTTCCAACTTTCTTGTGGGTTGCCCAGGAATGGATATTAGCTCTCTCACTATATGCAGAGAGAGGCATTAATTTACTTCAATACTCAGTAATGGAATGAAGTCAATTCAGTCTCAGTATCCTTTCAAAGGAAAGGGTACACTGTTATGAGTCATTTCACCCCCGTGTACAAGGAAAAAATAAAGTGAAAGAATGAAAAAATTATAATTGTCAAGAATGGGATTCGAACCCATGCCCTTTCGGACCAGTACCTGAAACTGGCGCCTTAGACCAACTCGGCCATCTTGACTTGTTGATCATAGCTCTCTAAACATGTTACATACCTAATTAGATGATACAATTCTCGGACAAAGTTGGTAAAATGTCATAGACTGAAACTGAAGCTGGGGCTAGCTGTGGAAAAAAAAAAAAAAAAAAGGCTGCAATCTGATCTTAATCTAGCTGACCAGCAGACTGCATCTTTGTTGACCTTAGAAATATCAGTCAAGATCTGGACAGCAATCTCAAGCCATTATTTGATGATGTTTTTGAGTTTCTAGGTTACCTAATGTGCTATTATATATGCATGTTGAGTTGAATAATTAGGATGTTCTATTCTGCTCGGCATGCATTGAAGATCAAAATTTTAACTGATCGGCACTGGAGCTGTACGTAGTACAGTTATGTTGTCCTTTATAGCATATTTGTGAGGAGCTTCTCTGCTAAGCAAGGGAATGGAGGTGAAAGGAGACCAAGAGAAACAAGAACAAGGAAATGAATTTAAAATAAGAGATTTATTAGCCTAGAGTGTATACTTGGAAAATGTGAAAACTGTACAGTAAACAAGAATACAAGATACATTTCTGAGGCTAGCTACTATTTCCACTAATCATTCAAAGCATAATATATTTGGAAATTATTCTAGAGAAATTCAAAATCCTAAACTTAAATCCCATAATTCTTCCTTGTATTATTAGGATTTAAGTATAGCATTTGCTTGTGGAGTAAGTGGTGGACATCTCACTGGGGCAGGATGGTGAATCCCATGGCAGATTAGACTTCCATGCATCAGGCAGGTTTGAAGGCAAACTGAAGGGGAATCCAATGGATCGAATAGTCCCCACCATGTTATTATCATGGATTGAACCTGGATTCTTTCTCAAACCCGCATCTTCTTCTCCCGTACCCATATTACCTTGCATTTCTTGAAGCAAATTGATCGAGAATCCATTGAACTGCTGTTGTGACCCTTCATAATCTATTCCCCCAGAAGTTTTACAAGCTTCACCTATTAAGGCTGGGTTCAATAGCATGGAAGGAGCATCATCTGTAGACTTGACGGGACCCGAAATTTCGAGTGGTGAATACAAGAAGTTGTTGGGAAAATCACCATTTGATACAGGACATAAATATGATTTGTAGGCTGTAGGATTAATGGGTTTGTAAGAGGGCATGTCTAAAACAGAGAAACTAGCAGCAGAGGCCTGTTGGAAGTCATTATTATTGGAGCCTATATGGAAACTTGATCCTATGTCAGTTGTGCAAGACATGTTCTCTGAACTGAACTGAGTGCAGAGTGCTCCTTGTGAGAATAAATCAGAAGCTGTAGTACTGTCCGGTAATGGAGAGACCCAAGAGTGAGAAAGTGCTCTTTGTGCCATGGAGTTTGTTTTCTTGAATATCCTACAAATAGCCCATGCATCCTACAATCATAGGAAAATTAAGACTCTTCATATTAGTAAACATATATATATATATTTTAAGTATCGAGAAGAAGATGAACAATTAAGACATAGTTGGAAGTACAGAGCTGAAGCATGGAGTCCTTACATTTGCAGGAAGGCTTTTGTCTAGGAGCTTCTTTGGTGGTGATGGGTCTGCAAGAGAAGGAAGCCGAAACTCGTGCATCATCCAGTCAGTTTTGATCCCTTTAGCAGCTCTACCTCTGTAGAAAACAAGGGACTTCTTCAAACCTATGCACTTGGTGCCATCAGAGGAGTAAATAGGACGGTCCGTTCCAGTCGCCTTCCAGAACCCAGCTCCTGTAACTCGATTTGGCCTTGCACTGTTCCTGTATTTACGGTCCCTTGGGCAGTAAAAGTACCACTCTTTCTCCCCTGTAGTCGCCAGCTCTTCTTGCAGAAAAAGGAGATAAAGAAAAAGCTCAATAAAGTTGAAATATTTTGACTGAACTACTCTATAAGCTAATCTTGGCATAAACATTAATGTCATAGTTAGTAATATTTTCTGAAAGTTTTGGAGGTTAAAACTAATGATGTCGAAGTTTTGTATGCTTCCTAGTGTTGACAAAAGAATCTTCCAAACATGAGGAGCGTTCAAATGAAAGCACCTTTACTAACTGACTTAATATGCTTTCAGAAGGAAACTGCAAGGAAATTTCTTGTGTTGATAAGCAGCTTTACTAAGGAAAAGGAGAGGAAAAACAATGTTTGCTTTTCATGCACGCAACAACTAATCACTCAGCCATAAAATCGGTTAAAAAAAAAAAGGGGGAGAAATTTATAAACAAAGTCTTGCGTTTCTTACTTGGAAGATCCCATGGATCATATTTATAAATATCAACTTGCTTAATCAGCTCAATGGGAAGAGACCGCTGCAGTATCTTTCTTTTGAGATAGAACCCAACAAGCTCTTCGTCAGTAGGATGAAACCGAAATCCAGGCAACATCACATCATCAACCTTATAATCATCATTCTTCTCTTCCATGTTCCTCCTCTCCCTTCTCTCTAAACTTTTCCCTTGAAGCAAGTAATCTAAATTTTAGAGAGATTCGAAGAGGAGAAATTAGATGCGCTGGAATCTAAATATGAAGTGAGCCTAGAAGAAGTAGGCTTATCGTGTTCCTAAATCTTGAAATCAAAGTAGGGTTTCTTGTAGCACAAGAAGCTGTTGGAGAAACTAAACTAAACCCAATTACAGCGGTAATCTCAAAAAACTATTTATTGTTACAGTACTAGAAGAGCTAGAGGAAGCTGTGAGCATCTATGAAACTTAAAAGAGAGGTAGCTATAAGTAAACAGAATAGTACTTGAGTTTTTTACTTAATTCAAAACCAAATTCTATATGCTTCCTGAGAAGGGTTCTGCCTCCGAAGCTTAGGCCGCCATTTTAGGATGACTGCAATGGAGAGTGTGTTTCTCCGAAAATCACGATGACTTTGTAAGAAATATTTGAGCTCAGCTAGCTATTTAAGCTCATGACTCATTAAAGACTGCTACGAGGAAATTGTGGTTTCTAAAATGGAGCTGAATATGATCACTTGCCTTCTCTTTAAATCCAATTTAAGGATCTCAAGAGACTACAAAAATAGCAGTATTTTGAGATTTGTAAACAAAGTTGTTTTCACACTTCTTGGATTTAAAAAAACTATCCCTTTTATCTTCAACAAATCAAAGACAAAATGACAAACAAAGCTTCCAATGTCATACTATTTTATTTCACACGTAAAAAATAATCATAGCTTGAATTGTTGTTTTCTTTAAACCAAGTAGGGAGAGGCTTTGGATGGGACCAACTTCCAACAATACAAAACAGTTCAAGTTTATATTCAATTCTATATATGAGATTCCCTGCAAATTCCTCCGAGAAAAATATCTATTTTGGTATCCCTTGGATCAAAAAAATTCTCTTTCCATTCTTCTTAGACCTTCCATTCCATTCTCTCTGCCACATATGAACATGTCATGTGTCATGGCTGCTATTTTTGGCTTAAATGGAGATTCCTCAAATGGGCTATTTTAGTTAATAATATGGAAATGGTGCCCGGGACCACCTTAACCTAATTGAAAAATCAGTAAATAATTTTTTGACACTTTGAGAGGATATTCGCATGGCCAACATCTTCAATTTTTAGGATATATAGCTCAAAAGTATCAACCTTTAGCGTATTGAATCTACTGAGCTAGGAAAAGGCTCTAAAGCAACTCCATAGTAACTTTTTTACATGATCAAATTCATATATATAATGGCTGTAAGTGAACATTTTTCTCAAATGATGACTTCATCCTTGATAGGAAATTAAAAAGGGTGCTAATTACTTGAAATAATTTGAAGTACACTTATCAAGTGGTAGAGATTTTGTCTTTTTGTAGTTAAGCAAATAATTAACTCCACACCATTAATACAAGAGGGGAAAAAAAATAGTGGTAAGACATAACATAAAATAATTATAAGTTCATAGGTGCAATTTCCGTACCCTTAAAAAAGTTTTCAAGTGTGAATAGGTAGATGTTAAAAAACATATCTTACATTAAATAGATAGATAACAAATGAGTGATATATATAGTTAAGAAAGAGACGTCCATTATAAAACTTAAGATGAAACTTAATTTTAACTATTTAACTCTATATGGTATCGAGCTTTAAATATATTCAACGAGTTCAACAAAAATTTTAAAACCCAAGTCACTTGATAAATCTCGAAAGATAAGCTCGCAAATGAGAGAGAATGTATAAAATTGAGATGGAGTTATCCATCATAAAATCTAAGTTTTTTTAGTGAAATTTAAAATCAACTATTTAACTCGGTTATTAGAAAAAACCATATTGCAACCTTCAATACTCGTAAATAACTAGAGAAGTAATATTAGAGAACAATATAATTAAAGCATATCCTAAGATCTCATTTAAAAATTTAAGCTTTTGAGTAAAATGATTATTTGACATTATATCGAGTCTCAATGAGTAAACGAGTGCGAGTTCGAGTCTCATTATCAACATTTCTCTTCTAATTAATTAAGCACAAAATACCGTGAATCCGTATAAGTTTCAAGCTTAAACGACTTTTACTTGAAGGAGTATGTTAGAGAATAATATAAATTATATTTAAGATTTTACCTAAAAGCTTGAGATGATCCTTTGACAAGTAGTATTATTCACAAAAATTATACTATATCAAATTTTGTAATAACTTGTACAACTTTTTTTTCTTTTTTCAGAATACTTCTAGAGAGCACCTAGAACCAATTAAGATGTCACCCACAATACTACTGGAACGTTGGGCTAGGTAACAACAGTACAGCTTTGTTTTGAAAACTGCAAGAGATCGAGCAAAGCTAGCTAGGCCAGGTAGAATTAATGTGGGCTGCTCACCAAACAGTAAGAAATAAGCAGCTCAACCACTTGCTGGTACGACTAGTGATGCTGTGACATCATAATTTTTTGCAATGTCAAGAACCTCTTCGCATACAAGTAGATACGGACACTCAGATACACGTAAGACGTGAGTATATATATATAGATATATACAGTACATATTAACATACGAATGGAAAAGAAAAAAAAAAGGAAAATAGGATAGTATTGTCAATGGGACTTGTCATGATGCATTAGCTAAACTATTTCCTTGGATAAAAATCTACTCATACTTCATGAAAACTGATCTTTTTCATCAAAACAAGATTTTTTTTTTTTTTTTTGAAAATGATCTAATATTGTAATGATTCTAATGTTCGACACTGAGATTATAAGGCAAAAGTCAATCATGCACCTTGATTTCATAAACATTGAACCATGGAATTCCTCAGGTTTCAAAATTTGTTTTTGAAATGCTGGACCCTCGTTTTGAGGGTGGTAATTTTTTCTTTTCTTTTACCATTTTTTTTTCCACAGTTTTTCAGGCAAAACCTACCAACTAAATATTTTCAAAATTTAATTTGTGACCACCAACTGAATAACTTAATATCGCTGACCCTCATATTATTAATTAAGTTTTAAAAGTACAAAAAAAAAAATATATTTTTTTGAATAGTTTCTTATTACAATTGCTTCCCAAAACAAAAGAGTAGTATCTCACTACAATTTTACAAACGGGATCATAAATTAATTAGACTTTAATTAGTCGTGGACAATTTTCTTTTAAGCATCAATAATGTTAGAACCCTAGCTAGCGCCAAAGTCAGTGTTTCATTGCTTGAGTTTGCTCAATAGTGCTTAAGTTTGCTAACTAAATGTCTCCTAGAAGTAAGGCAAGTAAAAACCCCATAATTAATACGAAGATCCTAATGGTCAATGGCCAAATTGGAAGTCGAAAATGAGTGAAATTCAATTCCCCAAATATAGCCCTCGTTCAAAACCCTTTTTGTCTGGTCCTTGGCCTAAGTTTTCCAACCCATGCGTGCAAACCCTGGTTGAAAAATGGGTCAAACTCTTGTAACCGAAGCTTCCACCTCTCTTTTTGTGTGAACATTAACCTCTCTTAAGCATAATCATGTTCCCAATGTAGAAAGTCCACGTTAAAGCTAAAACCCATCAAATGGCCGGCAATTTTTCAAATATTATTCTTAAACCCTAAATTCTACTATCACTTGATTTAATTATGCCTAGCCCTAGTTAGCTAGCTACTATTTCATTTACATTGTCTAAAGCAGCCTGCCATTCCTAATTTCCTATGCCCAACACATTCATAATTGTTTTTCTACATGATTTTTTTCACGTGTCATGACTACCTAACTACATCACAAAATTTTTTTATGAGTTAAAAAAAAAAAAAAACGTGAACAGCTAGTTCTCACTGGTTGCAGTGCCGTGGATTTGCAAAATTTTATTATTTTAATGTAGTTTTAGTTTTAGACTAAATGTTCAAAACCTTTCTTAACTTTTAGTCATTTAAAAATTAATCATTTAATTTTAAATTTCAGGTCGTACTTCTCTCTAGTAAATTTTTATTTAAAACTGAATATTTTTATTAGATTTCTATCATTTTATAATGGTAAAAGTATACATGACGTGTACATAATTGATTTTTAATTTTTTTTAGTTAAAAATATGTCAAAATTTATGGATGTTTTGTTTTTGCCTTCAAAATATGTTTTTTTTTTAAATTTTTTTAAAAATATTCTTTAATTGCTTATTTCTAAGCATTTAAGAGGGAAAAAATTTTTTTAAAAAGAAAAACAAAATATTCATAAGTTTTGACATATTTTTAGCTACCGAAAACTTACACTTACATGTTAAAATTGATAAAAACCTAATAAAATGATTAATTTCAAATGAAAAATAGTTAGAGGAACATTCAATCCGAAATTGAATGTTGAAGAACCGATTATTAAAAAAATTATATTTACATGTTAAAATTAATGAAAAATAATAGAAAGATCCAATTTCAAATAA